AAGTTCTTTTCCTATATATTTGTATTAAGCGGTAGTTACGTCATTTGTAGAACGGGATTTGGTTTGGTTATTGCATAACGCCGCACTCAGCAATATTCCAGCTATATATGGCGGCGGTCTGTAAAAATCGAGTCTGGGCCAGACAATTCAGTGATCAACAGCATGACGGGAATGTCCTGGTGGCGTCTCAGCTTTTAGTTTAGATCTTCAAGCCCTTGGCTATCGGTCGATGATTTCCTTTAAACTCAAGATCGCAATAAGAGCGTTGCGTCTGAATGCGCATTCGACGAGGAGACTGGAAAGAGGTTGGTTTTGATGTAGCTTATTTACACAGTATTACCGTCGAAGATGTCGCAATAGGATGTGTCCTTCCGTACTCCAAAACGCCTCTGACAATCTGTGGTTTTCCCCCAACGTTAAACTGTTCTTTGTCCCAAATATGATGGAATTTCGCTACAAAAGGTGTGAAGTATTATACACTTACACAAACACTCACCCATCCACTCGCTCACTTTTAAAAAAATAGCACGGAGGCTTTTGCATTTTGAACAGTCATAAATGTTTCGCATTTATCAAATATTCAAGCTGAAATTATGACCTATGAAACTTGTAGAACTTGCAAAACTTTGGTAGGGTGTCAATCCTGCAAATTATTGTTCTTAAGGCAGAATGTAGAAATATGACGATTTGCTATAACTGCCGTAATGCTAATGGGCAAAAATATTATAGAATGATTGTGGTCAGTTCATATTTCATCTAGTTCATTGTAAAAGTGGTTCAAAGTTGTTGTTTTCTCTCCGGAGCCGTCGTCTTTAATGATTGAAATATAGCTGTCTTCTTTCGTTTTACTGCGCAGGAGTTCGTATTGATTTTAAATGTTCCCAGCATCAGCGCTATAAATAGACCAGCTCCTTACAGCGATATCTCGTTCCCGGAGCTCGTCACTGCTTCGGTGGCAATCACAGCTCACAAATACATTTACGACAGCAATAAATTGTGTTGATTTTCAAATGTCAATACTTTTATTAATTGATTCATATTGATAACTATAATTTGATGATATCTGAACGTATTTTTGAACATCAAAAATGCGAATTTGGATAAGAATATCAAGGATGACATCTTCAGATAGTTTTGTTACAAAGATAATACCATATTCCGAATGTTAAAATATTGATTATTGTTATCTTGAACTAGATAATAAAACGAAGTCTGATAAAATGGCGTTGGCGTAGGCCAGGGTAATCTTTTTTTGAGTAGCGGAGGTGGGGTTAGCCTAGAGGTTAAAGCGTTCGCTCATGGGTACAATGTGTGAAGCCCATTTCTGGTGTCCCCAGCGGTGACGTTGCTGGAATATTGAAAAGTGGCGTAAAACTAAACTCACTCACTCACTTGTTGAGTTGGTGTTGCTCACCAAATCAGAAAAGTGACAGTCGGAATGCGTATTCTGATCATGCAATCTCGGATGGTTCAAGAAAGAATATTCCGAGCGACAGTTCCGAGAAGTAAGACTGATTCCGTTAAATGTATATCCTACCTCTCGCGTGAGTGGGAAAACCTTTGATACCTGAAGAGACCTTCCTCAGCCCGTGAGAAGTACAACGTACAATCTGAAATATATATCTGTTAGACATTCCAGAATGTATCGGGGCGGTGGGGTAGCCTAGTGGTTAAAGCGTCCGCACGTCACGCCGAAGACCTGGGTTCGATTTTCCACATAAATACAATGTGTGAAGCCCATTTTTGGTGTCCCCCGCCGTGATGTTGCTGAAATATTGACGAGCGAACGCTTTAACCAACGGGCGACCTCACCGCCCCCGTCACAAACAGGAGCAGAGGCAGTTGTTCACCTAATTGCATCCGACTTATTTGTTTTCACCGATGCGTCAGCTTTTGAAATATCCTTCACGTGTCTCCCAGAAAACTGTGTTACCCGAGGCCTTGAATGTTATAACGTTTCGGGCAATAGTCGTATGACGGGTGTCGTCCCCTGTCGAAGTCCAAAACTGGGTACGACGTCGAGTCCTATACTGGGTACGTCGTCGTAGTCCCATGCTGGGTACGTCGTCGTAGTCTCATACTGGGTACGTCGTCGTAGTCCCATACTGAGTACGTCATCGTAGTCCCATAATAGGTACGTCGTCGTAGTCCCATAATGGGTACGTCGTCGTAGTCCCATAATGGGTACGTCGTCGTAGTCCCATACTGAGTACGTCGTCGTAGTCCTATACTGGGTACGTCGTCTTAGTCCCATACTGAGTACGTCGTAGTCCTATACTGGGTACGTCGTCGTAGTCCCATACTGAGCACGTCGTAGACCTATACTGGGTACGTCGAAGTCCCATACTGGGTACGTCGTCGAGTCCTATACCGAGTACGTCGAAGTCCCATACTGGGTACGTCGTCGTAGTCCCAAGCTGGGTCCGTCGTAGTCCCATACTGGGTACGTCGTGGTAGTCCCATACTGGGTACGTCGTCGTAGTCCCATACTGAGTATGTCGTCGTAGTCCCATACTGGGTACGTCGTCGTAGTCCCATACTGTGTATGTCGTCGTAGTCCCATACGGGGTACGTCGTAGTCCCATACTGGGTACATCGTCGTAGTCCCATACTGAGTATGTCGTCGTAGTCCCATACTGGGTACGTCGTCGTAGTCCCATACTGTGTATGTCGTCGTAGTCCCATACTGGGTACGTCGTAGTCCCATACTGGGTACGTCGTCGTAGTCCCATGCTGGGTACGTCGTCGTAGTCCCATGCTGGGTACGTCCCATACTAAGAATTTCGTATGTCCTGTTCTAGACGAAAGACGTCGCCGTATGTTCTTGTTTTGACGATTTAACTTTACTTAGACAAAAATCTTTGGAAATGTACGAATGTTTTATACACATAAACCTATACCATTCAAAAATTCAAAAATGCAGGGTATATTCCATTTTTCGAGCATACCACTAGCCAATGCCAATGCATATGAGAAAAAAATATATATATCCATACAGATGAAATATTTCCAAAGGAATAGAATACATTGTCTCATTTTCCCTTAATTTCTCTTTATCATCTGTTTCCTCCTTGGCTTCATCATTTGCATTTTATCAATCTTGTAAATCCAATGTCCCTACTATTTTGAAAGGTATATATAATCCTTCGTTCACGCGGTCAAGGGCGGTACTTCAAGTCTCATGGGGAATAGACCATTCTTAATGAGGCCTCATGAATATTCATATCTGTACCAAAACGAGGCTAAATGGGGCAAGGACACAATCGCATAATGGCGACAAATCTCAATGTATACTTCCTGGTTTCAAATTTCCCTTGAACGGTACATTACGAAACTGTCCAGTAGTTCAGGGAAATCGAAGAGAAATGGGAAAGGGCTACACAAATGTTTCTGTAGCATATCAACGGATTGAAGGGTGAATAATTACTGTACATCACGACACATCACGATAAGTCATATGACCTAGATATCTAGGTAACGTTTACCATGTTGCGCAGCATTTATGAAGGGAAGCTACTCTAAAGTCACAATAGTGGAAATATTACCAAGGGAAGTCAATTACGTTTACTTTATCAACATATGAACAAAGCAAAGACTCAACGTATTTCCTGACCTGGATTCAAATCATCCACTTCCACATGGGAGTAGTGTTGTTAATTCTTGAGCTGGATAATCGAGATTATAAGTAATATATGTAGATCAAGATAGCTCTCCTCGAGTGGATCTGGACCAAACAAATTTTTGTATTATTCATGTGATGAAATTATTTGTTTGGTATTTCTTCTGTTTAAAATGTTTTGTCCTATCGACTCTGTTTTATAGATATAGGGTATTTATTCACGCATTTATTTTCAGTTGTACAGGACTAGTGGTGATGGGGATGTGCGCGTAGCTGCATGTTACAATCGCAGAGGAAAAACGAATCGCCACATCATCGTGTAGAAACTATTTATTTCAATCAACATGAGTGGGACCAGAGCTGGTGGGACACAATGTGCAAGATAAAACTGGATGATTTTTTTCAAGTTCTTTCTTGACTGATTTGGAGGTGAATAATTAATTTACCTAAATTGACAAGTGGTACCAGCATGGGGAATATTTGAACTATTTTTCAATACTGTGTTACTATACCATAAAATTGATTTATTGTAGATCAGGTGTACTTATTCTGTACCACTGTAACTGAAGACATTTTTAAGGAGAAAATATTATCAGATTAACATAACAGGATTCACACTACAGGATTCACACTACAGCAAACAATTAACCCAAATAAATAACGAGCACCTGGAGTGCAGTTAATAAAAAATTATTTTGAAATTGTGTCTTAAAAGTCCAATTACAATAGACACATTCACAATAGCTTCCAACTGTAATACTGATGAATAACAATCAACTTTTCAGAGGATGCAAATTGAAAATATATTGGGTGCAATATTTATGTTGATAGAAATATCTTTTTAGATTAGTCTGACATGAATGGCAACAATTACAGCTGGATCAATGCATAATTTATCATAGTTTTCTCCCCTTACACATTATCATAATCTCTTACCTATGAATGATGTTGTTTTTTCTGATTCCCAACTAACTCTTTTCAAACAGGATGAAATACATTCTTTTTCATCAATTATTAATTAAACAGCAGCAAATGAGTTACATCTACAACTATGCCATTATGAAAGACCTTTCTATTATTCAGTTAAATCCATCAATGTGTATGTATTACAGCTGTCTCTTTTTTCATCCATCATTTACACAACAAAAAAGCACCAAACAATTTCATTTACATTCATGTCTGTCAATTTTTGTGCTGTTTGGGCAAGCTACATCACAAAACTTGGGAAGATATTCAACAAATGAAAAAGTTCCAGCTAATCAGTGCCAATGTTTGAAATGATGGAATACTGTAAAATGTTCAATCAATTTTTATCATCATACATGAATTTACTAACTCCAAACTTTTCAAGTTCAAGTTTTCTGTTCAATTTTTCTATTTTGTCAACCTTTTCCTTGAGTTGCCTCTCCTGTTCATGTAAGTTTTGCTGGAGTTGTTCTATGTAGGACTGGGGCCAGTGGCTGCTGTATCCCTCTCTGCTTCTCTGTAATATAAGCATTGTAAAGCATCAGTATTATCTCTTCGACCACACAAACAATAAATATATCTCTGGAATTACAAATATACATCAAGGAATAGAGGCTAACATCATTTCATATTTTAGACAGTATGGGCAATCAATATTTTTATATGTAAATAACATAGCATATAGGTCAAAGTTCAGTTGTATTAAATTTTTTAAAACCATGTCAGTTGGCAAAATTAACTTAATACGATCTGACATTCTTACTGTATCTGAGATGGTGACTGTGGTAGATTCCTTATGGGAGGTTCCTGAGCTGGTGACATGCTCTCTGACTCTTAATTAGCAGCATCTGAAATGGATATTTAAACACTAAATATATTTCAGTTGGTGTAATTAGATTGTCCAGTAATATGTCCTGTATCCCTGAAGTACTGGTCAGTATGCAGTAATTTGAAAGTAGATACATATTTAAGATTTTTAACAGCATGTGTATGTCCTGCATATATATGTACTTGAAATGTTACTTTGATTTGCAGCCAATCTAATTTCACTGATACAGAATATTTGCAAATAAAATTCCCTTGCCATCATGACAAGAGTGTCTGCACATGTCCATATGCTTAAATTTTTTAATATATTGGACCATTCATAATTTATGACTAGGGGTGATGATGATTTTAGGTGCGGTGTTTTGTGGGGTTGGGGTGTCTCCCAGTTTGTTTTGGGGAGGCAGGGTGAGGGCCATGTGTACATATGAACTAGGGGTGATCACTGATTTTGAACATGACAATGTGTGTGTGTGTGGGGGGTGGGGTGGGGGTGGGGTGGGGTTTGAATGTGTCTCTGTGTGTGTGACATTCACATTGTACATGTGCCCCTAATATTAAAACCTTGCATAGTGAACAGTTTGTATATTACACGGCAGATCTAGACTATGCCATGTGCCGTAATTATTTTGTACTTACTATGAATCATTTTCCAGGATCTCTCCGTATTTTCGTCAACCACTGCCTTCTTCTGATCTTATTCTTGGGAATATGGTGAAAAGATACCGTAAACTCCTTACGGGCATCACTCCAACGCAAAGGCACACAGCAGTAATCTTTCCTTTTCGAGGTCGACATTTTCAAGGTTGGGTCAACCTATTTAAGCCTCGCTTTCGATTTGACCTCGAGGTCATGCATATTGGCTAAGAATGGTCTATATATATCCATATATATTGTAAACAATCTGCTTCATGACGGGGTAGAGGGGGTAAAACATGTCCTTCCAAGACAGTAAACAATGACATAGATACTGTAAATAACTTATCGTGGGCTCCCCTGATTATAGTGAGTGAGTTTAGTTTGCTGCTTTTAGCAATGTGACATACCTATGTGGGGAATCGAACCTTGGCCTTCGACGTGACGAGCAAACACTTTAACCACTAGGCTACCGCCCCTCCATGATTATAGGGTAAATAACTTCCCATGATTATAGTGTAAACAGCTTCCCATGATTATAGGGTAAATACCTCCCCATGATTATAAGGTAAATCTGTTCCCATGATTATATGGTAAATACCTTCCCATGATTATAGGGTAAATACCTCCCCATGATTATAGGGTAAATACCTCCCCATGATTATAGGGTAAATACCTCCCCATGATTATAGGGTAAATACCTCCCCATGATTATATGGTAAATACCTTCCCATGATTATAGGGTAAATACCTCCCCATGAATATAGGTAAATCTGTTCCCATGATTATAGGGTAAATACCTCCCCATGATTTTAGGGTCAATACCTCCCCATGATTATAGGGTAAATACCTCCCCATGATTATATGGTAAATACCTTCCCATGATTATAGGGTAAATACCTCCCCATGAATATAGGTAAATCTGTTCCCATGATTATAGGGTAAATACCTCCCCATGATTATAGTGTAAACAGCTTCCCATGATTATAGGGTAAATCTGTTCCCCTGATCATCGGGTAAATACCTCCCCATGATTATAGGGTAAATACCTCCCCATGATTATAGGGTAAATACCTCCCCATGATTATATGGTAAATACCTTCCCATGATTATAGGGTAAATACCTCCCCATGAATATAGGTAAATCTGTTCCCATGATTATAGGGTAAATACCTCCCCATGATTTTAGGGTAAATACCTCCCCATGATTATAGGGTAAATACCTCCCCATGATTATAGGGTAAATACCTCCCAGATGATTATAGGGTAAATCTGTTCCCATGATTATAGGGCAAATACCCTATAAGGTGGAAAATCTGTTCCCATGATTATAGGGTAAATACCTCCCCATGATTAGGGGTAAATAACTTCCCCTGATTATAGGGTAAATCTGTTCCCATGATTATAGGGTAAATCTGTTCCCATGATTATAGGGTAAATCTGTTCCCCTGATCATCGGGTAAATACCTCCCCATGATTAGGGGTAAATAACTTCCCCTGATTATAGGGTAAATACCTCCCCATGATTAGGGGTAAATAACTTCCCCTGATTATAGGGTAAATCTGTTCCCATGATTATAGGGTAAATCTGTTCCCATGATTATAAGGTAAATCTGTTCCCCTGATCATCGGGTAAATACCTCCCCATGATTATAGGGTAAATACCTCCCCATGATTATAGGGTAAATACCTCCCCATGATTATATGGTAAATACCTTCCCATGATTATAGGGTAAATACCTCCCCATGAATATAGGTAAATCTGTTCCCATGATTATAGGGTAAATACCTCCCCATGATACTAGGGTAAATACCTCACCATGATTATAGGGTAAATACCTCCCCATGATTATAGGGTAAATACCTCCAGATGATTATAGGGTAAATCTGTTCCCATGATTATAGGGCAAATACCCTATAAGGTAAATCTGTTCCCATGATTATAGGGTAAATACCTCCCCATGATTAGGGGTAAATAACTTCCCCTGATTATAGGGTAAATCTGTTCCCATGATTATAGGGTAAATCTGTTCCCATGATTATAGGGTAAATCTGTTCCCATGATTATAGGGTAAATACCTCCCCATGATTAGGGGTAAATAACTTCCCCTGATTATAGGGTAAATAACTTACCATGATTATAGGGTAAATATCTTCCCATGATTAAAGGGTAAATACCTCCCCATGATTATAGGGTAAATCTCTTCCCCTGATTATAGGGTAAATACCTCCCCATGATTATAGGGTAAATACCTCCCCATGATTATTGGGTATATCTCTTCCGATGATTATAGGGTAAATCTCTTTCCATGATTATAGGGTAAAATAACTTCCCATGATTACAGGGTAAATACCTCCCCATGATTATTGGGTATATCTCTTCCGATGATTATAGGGTAAATCTCTTTCCATGATTATAGGGTAAATACCTCCCCATGATTATAGGGTAAATACCTCCCCATGATTATTGGGTATATCTCTTCCGATGATTATAGGGTAAATCTCTTTCCATGATTATAGGGTAAAATAACTTCCCATGATTACAGGGTAAATACCTCCCCATGATTATAGGGTAAATGATGCCATACAGAGGGGGAATAATGCCCAGCGAAAGGTAACACGATGCAGATCATGTGGCATATCATTGTTGATCACATGTTATATATCATTGCAGATCACATGATATATATCATTGCAGATCACATGCTATATATCATTGCTGATTACATGCTATATACCATTGCTGATCACATGCTATACATCAAGGCAGATCACATGCTATATATCATTGCTGATCACATGCTATATATCATTGCAGATCACATGCTATAAATCATTGCTGATCACATGCTATATATCATTGCAGATCACATGCTATATATCATTGCAGATCACATGCTATAAATCATGGCTGATCACATGCTATATATCATTGCTGATCACATGCTATATATCATTGCTGATCACATGTTTATATCATTGCTGATCACATGCTATATACCATTGTTGATTACATGCTATATATCATTGCAGATCACATGTTATATTTCATTGCTGATCACATGTTTATATCATTGCTGATCACATGCTATACATCATTGCTGATCACATGCTATATATTATTGCAGATCACATGTTTATATCATTGCTGATCACATGCTATATATCATTGTTGATTACATGCTATATATCATTGCAAATCACATGTTTGTATCATTGCTGATCACATGCTATACATCATGGCAGATCACATGCTATATATCATTGCTGATCACATGCTATACATCATGGCAGATCACATGCTATATATCATTGCTGATCACATGCTATACATCATGGCAGATCACATGCTATATATCATTGCTGATTACATGCTATACAGCAGGGCTCGATTTAAGAGATGTTAACCTACTTGCACCAGGTGCAACCTAAGATAAAGACCTAGTTGCACCAGCCAAATTCAAGTTGCAACGTAGTGTGTTAAAATGTTTCGGTGCACATAAACCTTAATCAGTGATGTAGTACCCATGAAACCATAGCAACACTCAGACACAGCTGATCCCTGTTTACAAGAGCTGACATAGCCGAGACGTGTTTATGAATAGCAATGTGTCATTGCCATAGCTATTCAAAGTTTAGAAGAAACATGGGCTGCATATGTTAGATTTATTGTTGATTTATTTCTCAACAATTCACTTACACCTTGTGCAAGATAGACTCATAGCTAGGTTGTATTTTGTAATATTGGGTTGCACCAGTGCAAGTAACAAAGCACTAAATCGAGCCCTGTATACATCATGGCAGATCACATGCTATACATCATGGCAGATCACATGCTATATATCATTGCTGATCACATGCTATATATCATTACAGATGAAAATGTACTATTCATATTTATAACTAAATGTAACATTCTATACGGAATTTCTTCAATTGTCAGGGATGTGTAATAATTACAAATTGGCGATAAAGGTCGTCCAGGGGATACAGGTCCGTTGGTTGGAGGAGGTGTATCTCCGATTCTTTTTACATTGAGGTCGGTGGTAGTATGAGAACTATTTGTTAAATTTGAATGCGGCCATATTTTCATATCTCCAGTCTCTATTGCTAAGTTAAAATTTCCACATCTGAATTTTAAAAGGGCAGATCTCAAATTTAAACAAATGTTACAATTTAAGTATTTTCTACATCTAATAAGGTTTTATACTGACAATAATAAAAAGTTTTGTGTTAATTTTCAATGGAAGTATACTAGGATTTCTCTAAATCATCCGTCAGTCTTTGTTTAAAAAGAAACATGAAATGCTCAACATTTCCAATATCCTGACTGACCTATGCATAACCAAAATCA